AAAGTGTAGTGGATATGGCATATATAGCATTTTATAATGTGATTTAAATCCCCGCATTGTTCTAAAGTTTGAATGGGGGGAAGATGGCGAAGGAAACGAGGCTGCAAGAGTGCATGGCTGTGGAAGATGTAGCCCTGGAATTCTGGCACGTCTTGGCTTTTGAACTGTGATTTCATTTCTTCCGTATTTGTCTGCCTGCCTCTCTCTCCATCTATTCGGGTAAAAGCTCATATCCTGACTATTTCCTTGAAAGGGAAATCAAGAAACAGACCAAAATAACAATATTTTAAAACTAGCTCAAATGGTAAAAAGAACAAAAATAAGAATAGCATATGGACCATGAAGGTTTTTAAAAAACCCACAGTGCTTTCAAAATTTTTAACCAAATGCTTTCATAGGGAGCTTACTTTTTATATTGATGAAAGCAGCATTTTTATCCCCCAAATATTGTTAAACCTGCCTTTTATCAGGCTTGGGCTGCATGGCCTGTGGAGAAGGCCGAGGGGAATTAAATGCCAACAACTACTTGAATATTTGTATGCATATTCCTGTCAGAAATTGGTAAAAAGACCTTTCCTCTTTTGGTGTTCCTGGTGCACAGACCTGCCAGAATACCCTTTCATACGTTTCTGCTTGTGGAGATGGATTAGCACAGCTGCACATATTCTGGGTCTGCTTTGTGCCTTGAAAAGCTATTTGTTACCGGATATACATCAGGAGACCATAAAATCAAGACTCGCTGAAGATATGTGGCTGAACCAGATAATTTGGGAGAGGTGCCCTGGGTTGACTGCTTCTTTTTCAAGTCTTGATGAACTGGCAATAGATTCATGTTGGATCAAAGGAGGGAGTATTTCTTCACCCTTTATATAATTAACAATATATTTTCCACTGCTATAAAATGTATTACGCATTATGTGTGATGGCTTTAAAAAGAGAGTAGACACTTGGAATTGGAAGAGAAGAGGTGTGACACCATAGCTAAAAGAAAAATACAGGTCAGGGTTAGTTACTTCCAAATTCTTGATGCTGAAGGGAAGTGATAAGAGCAGGCCCCTGTTTGAACCTCTCTTGCTTGTCAGCTTCCTTGTCTCATCAGGGTTGAAACCATGTTTGCCCAATGCAAAAGTTGGATCAGACAAGTTTTTAAATTTATTTCTTGCTATGGACTACTGGTGCCACTATTTCTTGCTCCTTTGCTCAGCCTTTGGGACACTTAAGGAGGGCACCTTGTGCCTGTTTTGTTTTCAAGCATTACCTCAAGAACCTAGAAGGAGTCTGGTAGCACTTTTTCCAATTAATAGATTTTATTAAAAGGCATAAACTTTTGTGAGCAGCAACTCTGTGCGTCTGATGAAGTGAGTTGCCTCTCACAAAATCTTATGCTTTTTAATAAAATTTGTTAGCCAGAAAAGGTGCTACCAGATGTGTTCTTATTTTTTGCCACCATAGACTAACACAGCTCTCCTCCTGCAATGTCCTCAACATCCTAGTACAGTATGAGAGCCAGTTTGGTCTAGCGGTTGAGGCACCAGACTAGAAAGCAGGAGACGGTGAGTTCTAGTCCCGCCTCAGGCATGAAAGCCAGCTGGGTGACTTTGGGCCAGTCACTCTCTCTCAGCCCAACTCACCTCACAGGGTTGTTGTTGCGGGGCAAGTAGGAGGAAGAAAGAGTATTAGGTATGTTTGCTGCCTTGAGTTATTTGTTAAAATAAGAAAGGTGGGATAAAAAAAAATCTAAAAAAAATGTTTAGTCTGTTTCTAGTAAGTGTGCTGGATCCAACTGGAGATTCTCCCACCCTAGCATCCATTTTCTCATGCTGTTTTAGGCTAAGTAATCTAAAAGTGCAGGAGCTCATTCTGACGTTGTGCTGTGCGTGTAAGCATGCCCATACCTATAGATGCTTATGCACACACTCACCAAACAGCAGCAATATATACTCTGCTTAATAGAATCTGGATGTCTTCAGTTTAATGCATACTTTCCAGTGGTAAGCCCTATTCAATTTATAAAATACATTGCATTTTCACAAAGGATTTTTAACCAGCTAAAATAAAACGGTTTCCTTTAAATTATAAAAGCAAGTAGCCTTGCATAGAAACTTTTCCATTGAAATGCTAGTGTTTAGTAGGATGATCGTCACAGAAGAAAACCTGCCTCCGCTTGAACATTTTCCTCACTTTCTGACTTCTATGGTGCTATTCAGTCACAAATAATAATAGAATGTGAAAAGCCTATTATTAATTCATTGAACGGAGGGAGCAGGTACATGATTTCATTTGAAATCACTGTCATTCACGCACTGGGAATGTCCCAAAGCAGCATTCTTCTGCACTGTCCCACTATAGTACCCCACTCAGGATGCTGGCTTACCTATGAGAAGGCATTTCTGTGTACAAAGCAAAACATGCAAAGTACTCTAAGTGGCACTCCTTCGGTCCCTGATGGGCAAAGTTCTCAGCGGGCTCTCCTAGTGTCACCTGAATTATCGAGGGCTTTGATTCTGAGCCTCTCTGAGCACTAATAGGCTACCAGAGAGCAATTGGGGGAGAGCGAGCAGGTGCATGGGCCTGTCAAGCCCCTTCTCCTTTTCATGTGGCTGATAAAAGTAACTAGCCTTGTGCAGCCTCTACAGCCAGAACAGCTGGGCATGCCCCTCCTGCATGTCCCTTCCATGTCTTCAGAGCCTGCTCTGAAGTGATTGGCAGGGTGTCTACTGTGTGGGAGCGAGTCGTGCAGTGAAAAAGCCCTTCCCTCCTCCAGCTCACTAAGCTGGGCAGCAGCCCCTCCTCTTATGTGGTTTCAAAGTTGGGTTCTGGTGAGTGAGCAAGAGTGGGAAGAAGGCCATGGCTAGGCAAGAGGGGGCTTTTATAGAACCGTTGGTAGGTTTCTGGAAGAATATTGCACTGCAGACAGCAAGGAGCAGAGCAGTCCAGAGGGGAAAGAAGCGTGGTAAGATTCTGAGGCTTGCTATCGGCTCCAGTGCTGCTTGAAAGGCAGCTGTAGGAGGGGACAGCAAGCATCTCCTTTCTTGCTGATGGGTGGTTGGCAGCAGGACCCACAGAAGGGACTTCTGGGAGGGGTTTCTGTGTGGACGTGGCCTCTTCTGTCCAGCCTTCCCTTTCTTTATGGGATTGATCTGAGCTTGATTATTTTTAGCACCTTTTGTTGGATGGAGATCAGAACACAGCTCTGCCGCTGTTTCCAGGGGGGTATCTGCAGTTTCCCTGTGATGACAACTGGCTGAGGGAGGGGAAATGGGAGCTCCTCCAGAACAGATAGGGGGCTGCTTGTCTATTTATGCCTGTTTGGAAAAAGCGTTGCATCTTCAAAGTAATAGATGCCTAATTATTCTCTTTGGACATTTCCTTTGACGTAACTGCTGCTGTGTTTCCTACTGCAGCAGTAATGCAGCGTTGGTGGCCTTGATCCTTTTATGGCTTGGTGGGTGGAGGGCATATAGGCTGTATTTATAGATATTGTTGGGAGGGAGCCATGCTGGTCTTTTATGGAATGGGTATGAGAGTGGAGGAAGAGGCAGAATATGCAAGTGGTCCAGGAAAATAGGTGTGTGTGCACATAGATGTGCATATATTAGTGTGTGTGTGTGTGTTTTAGAGAAAGCATGTTCCAGATACCACTAGAATAGACTCTCATAGAAGGAAGAGACAAACCCTTCAGATGGAAAATATTGGCTAGTGTTGTTCTGTTTCTTGTAATAGAGTGCCCTCCTTTCCTCCCTGCTCATCATCAGCTTTGGCTGGGAGGCAGCTGGCTGCTAAGCATGGAGTGCCGATGCCCGTGCTCATAGATCTCGTAAATAGTACTGTCAGGTAGACAAATGTGTCAAAACGTGCTAAACAGCAGTTCTGGGAAGGCAGAGGTAAATATTGCAGAGGTCAGGGACCACCTGTGGGGCTTCAACATTTCCTTTGATTGAATGTTGAGTCTTACAGTTCTGTTTGCACACAATGACATTCCAGAGAGGAGGAATTTCCTTGATAGTTTATGGCATGTAAATGTATTGAGTAGCAATGAGTGCAAGTCGGAATACATGACATTCCTCATTTTCCTCCAGCACTATGTATGAATATATTAATCTCTGTATTACTAGGTGTCAGTACCATTTGCTGCAGAACTGTTGGAGAAAGTGTTGTATGTTCATGTTGCCTAGTAGGATGAGTTTTAGATACAGCAGAGGTTTTAGAGCACAGTCTACATTTACACAGAGGGAATCAAAGCCACTGCAAGGGAATGTTCTGGGGGGGTGGGAAGCATCTCAACTCAGACAGACTCCAATAAAAGTGGACCACTTGCAGGAAAAGGGCTAGAGGTTGCCCAAAGTCTATGTGTGATGGAATCTTGGGCTTGTACCAGTTGCCTCTTTGGTGCTGGACCATTCCCCAGCTTGTTTGGCAAAAGGCAAAGCTATCACAAGGTTCAAACTGAGGGCTGCTTGTGTGCACTGCAGCAAGCCAGCCTCCTGTATGCTGACTCCTGCTGTGTTTGCTTCCCGGGGATCCGGGGAGACCGACTTGCTGAAAGCTTCACTGCTTGCACCTGGCACATGGGATGAAAACTTCTGTTGGAGTGCAGTGCCACCCCACCTTGATCTCCTCCCTACCTTCCACCCTAGCTTCATTCCTCAAAAGAGGCTGTAAGAGTTCTTATCAGAAGAGGTAGCAGCGAGAAGGCCTGTGCTGGATTTGTAACTTTTCCTGTAGCAACAGGTGCTACTTGGCAGGGAAAGGGAAATATGGCTGGGGATGCAGTGGAGGGGGAAGGTTTCTGGACTGGGGGAAGCTGAAAGAGGAGGGTGTATCTTCTGTTGTTGAGCTGAAACTGCATGGGCTGAAGAACCAGGGGCCCAGCTTGGCTGAGTCAAGGCTGTGGCTTGTTAATGATTGCCTGCAACTGGGGAGAGGCCCTCAAAAGTGGCTTTCCGTGCATGCATTGTGTGCCTGGGCCTCACCTTCGTCTTTTTCTTTTCCTGTTGCAGGTGGCAGGAAAATCAGAGCAGAATCATCAACAGAGGGGGGCATTGGATTATCGCCGTGGGCTGCTTTTCCATTTTCCCTCTTCAGTTTGGGGTAACGTTTGGAACCTTCTGTAAATTAAGTCCCAGAAGCAAAAATCTGTAGCAGCTGCCTCTGCCTCACCTTCCCCACAATGCCATCTAATGGGCCATTTGACACCAGCAGTCCTTCTGCGGATCGGGAGGCAATCGATGCTCACAAGGTAAGAAAGGTTCAGGTGGAGGCTGGGTTCACTTCTGGTCCTTTTTCCTATGGCTAGATGGCCCATGTGTCAAGCTAATTATAGTTCACACAACATGCTAGACAGGATAAATAGAGTATTCTGTGGCTTGGCATTTTGTGGGAATCCCACAATTGTCTTAGCGTGTTGTGTTATCACATTAATATGCTTCATTTGTTTGAGCTTAGTATGTTCCATAAATACAGCAGTTGGACTTAATTAAGCATGTTTAGAGTTTAATGTGTTGGGTGAGCCCAACCCCCTGATTCTTGCAATATTTATATACTTGTCTGTGCAAAACTGGTATAACACAGGTAGCATGAACACCATCTGTATATTGCTCTGACTGAACTGCTGAATGTTTGGCATCTGTTTAACCCAAATATTAGGGATGGAACTTTCTGCTGTAATTAATTTCCATATCAATTAATTAGATGAAAATTATAGAGGCAATGGTGCAGTATATGAGGAAAGAGAGAGTTCAGACTAGTCTGTGTTGGTGGTGGCTGAATAGAGCACTTGGATTTTTTTTATATCCATGCCTGACGCTTCAGAGGCAAGCTAAAAGTGTGATGAAAGGAACATTCCCTAAGCATACTGTTGGGCAAGAAGACCTGCCTGTTCAGCTTGCAGGGTAATCCACACAAGTTCCATTGTCAGTCATGCAGACCAGGAAAGTAAAGGAAGACCTGGGTCATTAGAGTGTGGGTTTGCAAAGATTAGATGTATGGAAGGTAAGCCTGTTGCAATCATACTGTGGTTTGAGTTGGGAGGTATAGGCTAGGATAGAGAGTGAAAGATAATAATTGGACTTATCCTAGTGCATGAGCTGGCACTGATGTCTGCTTTCTTTGCAAGGAAGTGAGTGCACCACACAGCAGAACAGCATGTGTTTAGGTGAAAAGGGTGGTTGAAGTAAGCAATTTGTGAGTTTGCTCACATAGTGGTAAAGTAGAGCCACTTATGGCAGTATAAAACACAAAGGAAATGTGCATTTATGTACTGGCCTCATTGTCCTGCTTTGACCTCTAATGGGACCAGTAAATTGAAAGCAGTGGCTGTAGATTGTGAGCATCAGTCAGAAGTTTGTCCCTTAGGAACATAAGACTGTCTCAGTTACTACTAGTGGGACTGGAGACTGGAGACATGGTAAAGTGGTTGTGAGAATGTGTTTGTGTCAGGTTGCAAGATAATAGAAGGGAGTTGCTAGGAAGGAGCATGATGAAAGGAATACTGTTGCAGGTAGAGCAACTAACCTCAAAGAAATGTGGAGATGGGAGATTGAGGATGGAAATCAGAGAGACAAAATCACCTATTGCAGGGAGCTGCTGTAAGAACTTCAGATTGTTGGGGTCCTGACCCACAGTGCTGTGTATCTAAGATAAAGGAAGCCATTTTAAACTGTTGCTGCCCAGAGGTGGTGCTGGGGAAACAAGCTGTTGGTACAGGGGTCCAGACATCACCTAGACAGGGAGATATGATGGAAATGGGATTCCCAGAAGAGTACCTGGATATGGCAGAGTTCAGAGCCCTTTCGATTAAACTCTAGTCCACAGACCTGTAAGGCCTTGGAGTAATAGCATTCAGTGGTGCTGTGAGTCACCACTTCTTATACTGTGTGCCCAGTGGTTCACAGGGTTGCTGTCACTTTATCCCCAGCCACTGTGTTTCCCTAGGAGACTGGATGTAAATACGGTTGCTGAGGCTAAGATTCAGACAGTTCAGGGAAAGAAACGGAGACTGGCAGAAGCAGGATTTATTGGAAGGGTGTCATCAGCCTAACTTTTTATATATTTGCTTTTAAATATACACTATTGTTCAACCCCAGTGTATTAAACACCAACAGGATGAACCAGAGAGGCAGCAGTCTCAACAAGCAGGATTTAAACTAGGACCACTGCCAGAAAGCCAATGTGATACAGTGGGTAAGATATTGGGAGAACTAGTTACAAGTGTACTCTTGGCCATGGAAGCTCACTAAATGACTTTGGCCATTTAGTCTACCTCATAGGGTTGTCATGAGAAAAATTGGGGGAGGAGATACAATTATGTTGCCTTGGTTTCCTGGATAAACAAATAAGAAACAAATAGATAAAGAATGAATGAGTCTAATGTCTCTGCCAGCCAAGTTTCATGAGGGACTACATTCCAAAGTCAGGGCTCCATCTCAGAAGAAGGTCCTCAGCCTTCTGTGTAGGCAACAACTCTGTGGCTGCTGAGGGAAGTACCTTTCTTTCCAGTGTTTGTGTTTTTGTGCATTAAAAGTTAACCCAAACACTTTAAATTCAGCTGAGATATAAATAGGCAGCTAATGTAATCTTTAAGGAATTATGGAATCTGCATAGCTTTTGATTTGGATTCAGGCCCAATTTAAGAATGGAAATTGCCTTGTAGCCCTGGTAGTGGTCCTATGCTGGGAATGTGACAGGGAGGCTATATTCCAGTTGCTTTTGCTGAACGCACCTGTGGCTTTGGATACTACAGTAGCAGATGGCAACTATAACGTAGTCTTGGGAGATCTAGAAAGCACAGCACATTAGTACTTGGATAAGGGAGTAACTTGAGAATTTCAGGGTGGTAGGCTAGATTGGGAAGTCCAGAAAATAGTGCAGAAGACAGCATGGCAAATTCCTTCTGTACTGGCACCAGGAAGGCTGAATGGATATGTATTAGTGTAAGTCACCAAGAGTCAACTTGAAGATGACTTTACTTTTTACTTTCCTTGAGCAGTCCAAGGAAAGGATACTGGTGGAGTGTCATTTAGCCTCTGGTGAGTGGAATTTTATGTGGAACTGTTTTGTCTCATAAATGCTCTTTAATATCTGTATGCAGTGATATGGGGGAGGTCATCTGGAACTTTGGGTTAGGTCTCATAAATATGTTGCATTTGGCCTCGGTCTTTTTCAACTGATGTCAGGGAGATATGATTAAATGTCCTTAAAAGGACAGCATTTATTTATTTATTCAATTTTTATAGCCACCTATCTCACATTCATTACTCTGGGCGGCTTACAATTAAAACAAACAATACCAAAAAACACAGAATAAACCATACAACCAATACAAAGCATTAAAACAACTAAAAACAATTAAACCCATGCAGTATAGTCATCAAGAGACCACAGTAATTCATGAACAGTACAACCATTTTGTGGGTCTTCAGGGTCCGGGCCAGCCTGACCTCAGGGGGAATGATGTTCCATGGGACGGATGCAGTAGCAGAAAAGGCCCTCCTCTTGGGTCCCATCAGATGATGCTCTCTAGCAGAAGAACCCACAACAAGCCTCTTCTGCTGGACCTGATGGGATAGATAGATATCACTGGGAAGAGGTATAATAACCTCAAATAACCCTCAAATAATTTAAACTTGTTTTAAAATATCAGGTGGTCTATTTAAGTGTGCTTTCTAATATCTCAGTTCTTCTGGAAGGAAAGTAAAGCAGCAAGAGTTATGAGGAGCGCTCATGTCCCAGTTGAAGTTCCATTTGGTATGCCAGCTGTGTTCTTGGGCATAGAAAATCTGGCCCGTGTTATATTTTAGATCACTGTGATACACTCTACATCAAGCTGCCCTTGAATAGTGTTGAGAAACTACAGCTAGAAAAAATATGAGTACTAGGTATCTTGTCAAGAGTATGCTTGGACACCACATAATGTACTGCAGACCTGTACATCTCGTAGAAGGGAAATGGCCACATTGATAAATTAAAAACAATTGCAGGCTTCAAAGGAATAGCTGGTGTGCTGATCAGCTGTTCACTAGTGGAGCAGAGTGGCACAATGATGGAGCTGATGGTGTCAGTGAGGTCTGGAGATATCTTTTGGGGCAACAGTCAGTGAAGTCAGCAGCCTGTCTTTTGGAGCAGCAGCAACATTTGGTGCCAGTGGATTTATGGAATTTTTAAAAAATGTCAGCATGAGGATGCTTGCTGGGCCACATGCAGCCCATGGTCCATACAGGCCTGATGTATTGGACTGAATCTTTGCTTCTGGGCATGATTTATAGTGCTGGGTTTGGCCTACAGAATCCTAAATGATTTGAATCCAAAATAACTGAAGGGCCATTTTCCATTTGAATCTGTTCATAAATTATCACCTCTTATATGAAGATGTGTTTTATGTTCTGCTCCTTGGAAATAATGGTGTGTATTTAAGACAAGGCTTTCTGATAGCAGCATTTTACTTGAGGAATTTCCTACTGAGGGGGATGATACTGGCTATAAAGATAATCTCCTGATAAATGTTCTTATGTATTATAATATTTGCTCCTCCATTTCTTGGTACTGTACTAAATTTTAATGATATGTGTATTGCATATTATTCTAGCATCCTAGTAGGAAGAAGAT